TAAGGAATGAAACGGGGGTTGAAGGATGGGGAATTTAATTCTCCATCGAACAGCATTGGTTTCATTCCTTAATGTTAATTAGGAGCAGAGATACGATTTTTGAATTAGCGGGCGAATTATTGGGGAGTCACTCTTCGCCGGGAAAACATGGGGTGTCTTATAGCGCCGTGACTTTCGTCGCAATATTAATTTTTTTATTGCAGAGATTAAGTGATGAAACTGGGGTTGATGGATGGGCAATTTAATTCTCCATTGAACGGTCTTTATTTCATCCCCTAATATTAATTAGTCGGCGAATAAATCAACTGAAAAACAAAACGTAAACATCGAGTACAAGGAGGACAAAAGTCCACCTCCGAACTTGTCCCTGTCACAGCGGGACTGCTATATACTGCCGAGTTACTCACGCCAGAGATTATAGGGGAGATGAACAGGGCCAATGTAATGTGTTCAACAACAAAATCGTAGCGGTGGCGCATGGACTACGATGAAGCGTACGGAACTGTTGGTATGATAGGGCCCGAGCATAAATTTGTCGATAACCGGAAAGGGGTTCTCAATACGGTAGCTCCTCGCATTGTGTAATAATTGTCAGGAATGTAAAATCGAACATATTATAATCAATAGTATAATGAATGCACAATCTAATGATCTAAAAGTCTTTTCCTTTTTCTCGACATATTTATCATTGACACGTAGGTCAAAAAATTCATAGAAAATCCCAGCGCTGTCGCTGGAAAACTCTACAGTTTTCCAGTGATTCTATTGAATAATTGTGCAGATTTTGTTTTTTTTTTACTATAGTAATGTTCGATTATATATATTTATTCCCCCCCTGAGTGAGAAAGGAATATGTATCGCGCTCGCTCCCACTCATTGTCGTCTCCGTCGCGCTGTCACGTGCCCGTCCTCCACCAAAATTAACGAGTGCGAGTGAGAAAGAAAATGGAGAAGAAGGAGAGAGAAAACATTCCAACTCGTTTGAAACGGTTGGAACGTTTTCGTTGTTCTCCAGCGATCTACACATAATGGGATTAATTCAATAATAGATTAATGAATAAGATTTTTCGCAGATTATTGCGAGATTTAGATGAATGGTTTGCCTCCTTCAGTGACCATCAAAAATTGTCTCCAATCGACAATATCTTCCGATGAAATGAAACGATGTGAATGAATCAAGTATCAATTTGAATCTTTAAAAAATTAATCCAGAGTGAAAAAAAATCCCGGCATTCCACTCTGAGATTTCTCTCAGAGAAATTGTCTGTGTTTACCGAGAAAAAAAAAACGTTGTTCCTAGGAATCGATGTGTCTTTTTTAGGCAGCTGCATTTCTGAAATGCAATGAGCAAGCAATGTTAAAATTGAGTCATTTTGTAAAAAATTTCTAGTGACATGATCCTGAAAATCAAAGGAAAATTTTGAATTCAGGAATGATGTCTGTAGGTTTCAGTAATATTTTCGCGGAAATTCCGGGAACATTTATTGGGAATTTTTATCGCGTTGCCGTAATACGGAAATTTCAAGGAATTTCGTCATAGCAAATTAAATTTTTTTATAAATTTCAGTCCAATTATATGTGTACGTCCACGTGAAAAGGGCCCATTTTATCGCATCTAGTTTCCGAGTTATTC